ATAATTACTAGAGGCAGTGATATGTGCGTTTTATGTTGTGGTTTTGTTGAAGTTATATTTCGGAATACAATTTGATTTCTTTAAGAAATTGTAGGATATTATATGAATTAAAGTTATGAAAGAGTTCTCTCATGTTGGTTGTTTGGTTGATTTTATTTATCGACATATCAAGGGCTTGGCAGGAATTGAAAGAAATAATTTAATCGTGCCGGCACTTGTATTTGTTACACAAAAATACTTAAGTGATTTACAACCGTTATTAAATAAAACTTATGAATTAAAAAAAAAAAATTGCTGAGCTTATTTCTGATGGATGAAATCGCCCATAACGAGGCCATTTGTATTGTTTAATCTTCTAGGTTAGTTTCGTTTGTTTAGAAATTAAAGATCGCATACCTATAGAGATTAAACAAACAATGAAAAAGGCTGATTGGTTGGTTGAATATGTTTAGCGGCATATCAAAATCTATGGATTATTTAATGCTGAAATCTTTGAACACAATCTTATGCTTTCAACTACAAATATTTTGTACATCATTTTATACTTTCAAAGTAAAAGTATGTTTCTTAGATATATATTTTGTAGATCGTAAAATGTATTTTTAGAATTTTATTATGAAACTGTACTGCTGATTTTTGTTTGGGTGTTCACCATTTACTTACAATTGGAACCCTAAGAGGTGTCACCACCTCTGGTGAGGGTGGACCAGGGAACAACAGCAAAAGAAGTGGTAGTTCTACGCTGCACAAAACCTTTAATATTCTATCAGATGCCTTATTGCCGGACGTATTTTATCGTTATACCCAGAACGATTTTAATTCTAACTGTAAAGACCTTAACGCATGGTTTATGATCAAAGATACGTCCATACATGTTTATAAAGTGAGGCACAGTTATGCGGATATGTTAGTGCATGTACCAAAATCTATCTATCTATCTATCTATCTATCTATCTATCTATCTATCTATCTATCTATCTATCTACACACACACACACACAGATATATATATATATATATATATATATATATATATATATATATATATATATATCTTGTTAAATATAACAGACAATGAATGTCTATTATATCTGATCATATATAGATATTTTTTATTAAGTTGGTCCTAAGCTTTTGGCTTACATGAGCCATCCTAAGAGGGGTTATACACTAGGCCCAACTTGATAAAAAAATCCAAATATTGGATAATTTTTGTCTTTATTTTCACCAGAAATTAAAGTAAATATTCGAACATTAGAAAGGCTCATGATCAGACATAAGAGACATTCATTGTCTGTTATATTTAATAATATATGTTTAAATAATGATCTGCTGCCACATTAAACTATATATACATGTATATATATATATATATATATATATATATATATATATATATATATATATATATATATATATATATATATATATCAACAGTATTACTCGCTTGAAAAAAACCTCGGATGACTCAACTTGTAGACACCTGAGGGGCAAATGGGTACCCAAGGAAAAAAATTGAAGTAAATAGTACCAGCTTGTTCACTTCCATATGGGATATAAAGCAAGAAGATAATAGTGACTCCATTTTGAAATGGGAAATAGTAAAAAAAAATGCCATAAATATAAGGCAGGTGACAGGTTTTGTTGGTTATGGATGGAAGAAAAGCTAGCTATCGTCACCTATAAGAAACCTAAGAATTTATTAAATAAAAGATCCGAGATACTTAATATGTGTAGGCATAGGAGAGTCTGCTTATTAGAATAGTAATTTGTGTTTTCTTTTTCTTTATTTTTTTGTCATGTGGTTTTATGCTTTTAATGGTTTTCAATAAATACTGTCCCGCCATTTCCTTTTTTTAGCCAGTCTACCCTGAAGATCCGGTTAGCCCTGTTTCATTCTCAAGCGAAAAATTAGGAATTTAGATTTAGGTTCCTAAATTTTCGCTTCAGGATGAAACAGGGCTTGATACCTTAATTCAATTTAATTTTAATAATTATATTGAGATTTTTGGCTCTTGTTTTTGAAACATGAGAACTCTTATGTAGCAAAGGAATCATATTTTTAAAAAAATAATTCTAATTTAAGCTCTACTTCTGTATAGAGCACTGTTTTTAAAAAAATAATCACAAAAATACTAAAGAACCCCGGATTATTTACCGAACATATTTCTTTTTCTATTTTTCTATATTTTGCATATATATATATATATATATATATATATATATATATATATATATATATATATATATATATATATATATATATATATATATATATATATATATATATATATATATATATATATATCGGTAAAGGCACGTCAAGCTAAAATGACGGTTCCGTATAGGATACACGTTCGAATCCTGCCGGAGGACGAATATCTTCTGTGAAAATTTCTCGGACATTCAGGCCGGTAATGGTGTTTAATACTGTTTATTATAAACAGAGCATTTACTTAAATATTTGTATCTATAAAAGAATGTATAAACATAAAAATGTCTTAATATATATATATATATATATATATATATATATATATATATATATATATATATATATATAAAAAATCTCTGAATTTCTCTGTAAAAAAAAAAAGACAATATGAATTAAGAATAAAGACGATAGGAAAATTGTATGTAGTTTCAACAGACGTGACGGACTCTTTATCAAGGCAAAAAAACAAAAACAAAAAAAACGAAATGAATTCATTTGAACAAAGTATCTATAAACAAAAAAACAAAATGTTAGTTTCTAGAATAATTTAGAAAACGCTCATAATTATTCATTAGGTCAACTGAAAAATTACGTCATTTACTATTTATATTTGAAGAGGATTTTTTCATATGTAGTAATATTGTTTGTATTATTGTGGAGACTGTTCAGTTTTTTGAATTTTCTAATACCCATAATATTTTTTTATCCTTCCCCTCCCTTAGAGAGAGAGAGAGAGCGCCTCTTGATTTTGTTGGAAAACAGAATACAACGGCAACTCTTATTTTTGAGGGGTGGACAGGTCCTACTAACATCTTTCTTTTTTCAGTTTCTATTCGGGGTCATCATCCACTTCATCATTTAATAGCATTGATAGAATTTTTATACAATTGCAAATATCGAAATTTTAAGTCATGTGGTGTTTTTCAGTAGGGGTCCCTCTGTGTGTGTGAGGTATTTTGGTGTATATAGGAGCGAATGGTGACGGATAGATTCTTATGGTGAACGAGTAAATTGTAACGAATGAATGGGTCGTGAATCTGATTAGCTGGGTATAAGATAGTGTCGACAAGCCGTGTCCCATTTCCCCAATTTTTTTGTCCTTGTGCCACAATTACTGTATTTAATCAGTATTAAATCGTAGTCGGATTCAACCGCTTTCTTTTCATTTCATTTTATAGTTATTATATAGTTTCATTATATAGTTATTGTGTATTTTGGCTTGGGAGAGTAGTGATTCTATTAGGAAAAGGTGAACACGCCGGTTTGTTCCCAATCTCATCTTTCACTATATATATATATATATATATATATATATATATATATATATATATATATATATATATATATATATGTTTGTTGATTTCAATATTTCTATTAATATCTATATCAGCCCATTTACATACAGACATACATGTACGTAAATCTAATCTAATCTAATCTATCTATGTTCCCATTTGTCTGTTCATATCTGTATAAGCCAGTTCATATACATATATATTAGGCTGAATCTATGCCTATAATTCTCAAAATGTTTGTGTATGTATGTGTGTGTATGTATGTATGTATGTGTGTGTGTGTATGTGTGTGTGTATGATCGGATGTTTATGCATTTCCACAGTTTTCAACCGATTATGATGATGGTTTGATAGATAATTCTTCAGTGCCGGTTTTGAGTTCAAACTGTTGGCGTCAATGGCTCTCCACTACTTCCTGTCCATTATAACACTCAGCAACATTTTACTATTTACTATCTGTTCTTGGATATATCTTTCATAAAAACTTTAATAAAAATAAATAGTTTAAATTATTAAAATAATATTATTTATTATTATACAGTTCCCTTTTCAGGGCCACTCCCACCATCCAAATTGTTACCCCCCCCATTTGGGGGGGGGGTCTCAGTTGCACCCAACTGTTGTTACTAATATTGATTTTTGGGTGGGCTGACTTTAAACTTAAACTGCTCCAATTGAACGTCAAAAATTCCCAGTAATGAAAGACCCGGGCAAAGACGGGTTATACTGCTAGTCATGAATAATTTGCGATGTTGTTTGTCAACTTTATTTTTAAAAATTGTCCAATTACATTATTTTAGTCAATTATATATTAACCTTTATTTGCAATGAATTGTTGCTACTTGCCAGGCATCTCTCCCATTCCTTTTCAGTACAATTCCGCAGGGTTTTGATGTCAATAAGCTTACAGCGGAATCTTGATTCTGGTTTTATTGTTTAATTACAGAAACATCACCAGCGGCCTTATGTGTCACGACTCACTAGGAAGATCAAACAGGCACACACATTATTTTTAATTATTACACTACAAGTAAGGCGATAAAGTCCCTAAGATGCAAGGGCTTAATGAGTGTGAATGGAAGTGAGAAAATGTTAGCGGAGAGAGAGGACAAAAAAAGGAACAGGAATCAAGGGGACAGAAGATGACGATTGATGTTGCATTTAAATGATTGAAGGACTTAATAGAAATGTAAAAAGCTGGAAAAGAGTAAAAAGTGAGAGGGAAGAAACAATGCGAATGGAACGTACGCTTAGATTTAGCAATTTTAACATTCTTTTATCGAATTTTAAAATGGTGAATCATAGCTGCCAGTACTACACTTAAATTCGTGAAGTCGAAGTAGCAAAAAGAAAAGCTCATCAGAACAATTACCATGAAAGTATTTGTAGAAGACACGCAGTGACTATGATATATATATATATATATATATATATATATATATATATATATATATATATATCTGAGAGAGATATATGAGTTAGAAATAGAC